GGTTTTGCAATCTTTTAACAATAGGATGGGGTTTGTAGAGCGCAGCGCTTTAGAGGCATTATACGTTCTTCGGAGTGCTTTAGTAACGATAGTCCTATAGTGGACGCTAAGGTTTGCATCATAATGAAATCTTAAATACGACCTCTTTCATAACATTTAAAACTGAACCATAAGTGTATCGGAACCAAGTTTGATGTACCTAAGTTCATAACAGGTTCTTTTTCAACTATGGGAATAGCCCATGACCAACAGCTACTTGTCGATGGCCTGCTTCCTTTCAGGTGTTAACGAAGAGATGCAGAGGAGTAAAAGTGCTCTTCCTTGCGGAACTCCGTTTCTTATGTGATGCGACATGAGAAGTCCTGTTGCAAATGAAATTTTCAATCGAAAGAGCACCGGAGCAACCCATAAAATTTCCGTTCTTGCGCCAAAAGATTATGAGGAACTTCGTAAATTTATAAAGAAATCAAAATATGCTACATCAACAAACGTCTTTTTTTCTAAAGACATTATCCAACCGTTTCAAGAAAGCTATGTATCTGTAGATTTTGCTATCCGAAAGAACCTAGTGTCAAGCTGATTTTAGTCATTGCTATCAATTGCTGATAGCTATAAAATGCATCAGATAGAACATTACAGCTTCATCTGTGTTAGCTATAGCTCCTTATGAATTATTTTATCCTAGAATATCAAAGCGGAAGTTGATCCGCAGTCCTATAATTAAAATTTTGTAGAATATTTTGCTACTACCCTTACCTATAACGCGGTTTTTTCAAAACTCATAGTATCTTTTTAATTTTTTCATAAATTTTCTAGCAATGGAATGATGAATCTCTCAGTTCTTAGAAGAGCTATGAAACATCGCGGATTTCCACGAGCCGTAGATTTTGGGTAGTGAGGTGCAAAGAAAACAAATTTCAACTTTAGAGTGACGAATAGGAAAATGGCGCGATGCGTATACTAACAAAAACATTGTACATTTTTCCTGAACTGATTACGGTAGAAAATGACTCTCTTATACTGTCAAAATCGGTGCTAATAAATTATTTATATTCAAGCTCAATTGGGTGGTATAATGAAAATTATTGTACCATGATCACTACTGCCAACTGAACGCGGAGGGCGCGCAGGAGTTCCCAAAGCCTCGCCGCTTCTCCTTGGAGCAAGTAATTAGGCGTCCTGGGGGAACTTAACACCTTCCAAGTGCTAGGCTCTGACTCCGCCTATTCTCTGCCAGGAGGTTGGTTTGTGTAAGGCTAGGGTACGGGTGTGCGAATTCAAGACAAAGAAAAGGATAAAGAAGTTGGAACTGGCATTATGCTTCTTTGGGATCTCATTTTAATTTAAAATTAGGGCGTAGAATTGTTTATCATGCAGATAATATTGAAGGTATGGAGCCGGTTTTTAGATCAGAAAAGGAATTGTAAAGTGCTTTGGATAACTCTGTTTCGTGGGAATTCTATGGATCTGAAAAAGTCGCACAAACTTCAATATCTTTATATCGTATCTATGGCCACCATTTCAAGAACGGAAGAATTAGCGATGTTTCGAATTAGCATGAGGGTTAGAAAGAGCTGGAGAACTAATCTAAATTTTTTCTCAAGATGGATTTCTGTAAAA